TTATTTTCCATTTTAACGCACGATCATCGACGGTGAGCTCGAATGGAGCATATCGATTCAGAGCGAGAGATACAGAGATCGCGGTAGAAGAGGAAGACTGATAGAGGAGCAGGAACGTCGTTTCCTTCGTTTAACAGCGATTCGCGAGACTGGAAGGCGATCCAGTTGAAGAAAGAAAGAAAGAAAAGATTGGTGGATAGTTTCATTAACGGTGATTTAAAAGGGAAACGGGGAGGTAATTAAAAACAATAATGAAACCGTGGACGATCGTTAATTAGAATTGATAATTGCGAGCGGGGATCGCGACACGCCGCGGGACAGCGCGAAGGCTGGCCGGTATTGAGAAACGGTTCCTGTAAGCCGGTCTTGTATAGTCCCGCGATAAATTTTCCGATCTCTTAATTGATTTCTGTTATAGCAACGTGCTACCACCTTCCGACGGTATTTAAACGTTCGATTGCGATACGAGCTTGTCCCCCCGAGGTAGGAGAATTTCCTCTCGAACGCGCGGATCGCGGGGAATGATTTAATTTCGAATATACATTCATATTCCCAAGATATACGGGAGAAACGTTATATACACTGTTTTAACAAGTCGATCTTTTTATCCAATGGACGAGTTTCGAGAGATCTGTGGATGCTTGCAAAAATTTGCAAAAAGGAGGATCGTATCATCAGAAGTAAAAATTTGTGTGAAAGTTTTAGAAAAGAAAAGAAAATAAAGATCGAGGAAACGATCTTTCCATCGATACAAGCTTCGTCGAATCCCGTACCAGACACCTGCACCTATTACAAAAAGAGGAAGAAAAGGGAAAAAATTCCCATTTCAGAGACGGTCGATATCGCGCACCGTCCAAGTCGCGGTTTCTCGATACGATACGATACCAGCCACCTGTCCCACTTCTGTCCTGGCTGGTACAACAGCTCTCGGACTCGCTCGTTCCAGAGTATCGTTTAATGAATTCTCTGCCGTCCCACCCTCCCTCCCTCCCCGCCCATCTCGCATCCGTCCTCGCTGGCAGACGTAATTAAAAGGAACGTGACGCGCAAGTTTAGTGGCGCTTTAAGACCCGGCTCGGATCATTGCACGTATCCGCGATTCATAGCAGTGTGTACGACTCACTTCGCGCGGCCCCCGTCGATCGTCGCTCGATCGCGATCCACAGCTATTCACGGCGATCGTGCCACTCGATCGTGTCCAACTTACGATCGTAATTATCGAGTCGAGCTTTATGGGGCCCGGTGTGCACCGCTGGAATTCCAAGTCGCGGGCTTTCCCTTCCCCTCTCCCACGGAGATGGAAATGGAGAAAATTGCCCTTTGAATCGGTTTGACACCAGGGAAATCGAAACGATAATACCAGACGTCGCGGTATCGAGGATAGGATCGATTGCTTTCCACTCGCCTTGGGAAAACTTCTGCGGAGAGAAAAAGTTCTGAAACGCTGTCCTCGTAGGTTCACGCCGCTCTCCGCGGGGTTTTGCAAGAACGATCGATAAATTTATGAGGACTCGATCCCGCCTCTCGATCCTCTTACGCTCGCTTCTAGGAATTGGCCGTAAACGGCCTCCTTTCCCGCCACCATTCTTTCCCCAACGATACATCCGATACTCGTGAACTTACTCCCTAACGTGTTTCCAACACGATCGTGCGACCGGCATTTGCCTCTGGAAACGAGACTTGGGCGTTTCCAAGCTCGGTGCATCCTCTTCTTCGGATCGAATCGTGGACAAAAACGCGGCAAGAACAATATTAAGACAATGTTCGAATCGCGGCGAGAGAGAGAGAGAGCGACGATCCTCTCGAGCGAATCGATCGATTTTTAGCCCCTCCCCTCCCCGAGAGGAAGATGATTTCGCTAAATCTAAAACCCCGTGGTTATCGATCCAAGACGAATCGTTTCTACGTTCTCTCCCCCTTTTTCCACCAATCCCCGGAATCCCATCCCAGTGACAATCCAACAACGATCGCCTTGGAACCAATTCGAAGCGTAGGCCGAGCCCCTCTCCTCCCTTGGACCGGCTCTCGATACCGGTGCAATTAAAAGCAACGTGACCGGTGAGCCAAGCAGCAAAACTGAAAGAGAGAACGATCCAAAGGTTTCTACGATTCGTTACGCAAAGGCCGGTTCGGAGGAAACGGTGTTCGAGCGAAGAGATGGAGGCGAGGCGAGGCGCACAAAGAGGGATATTATCGGCTAGCTGTCGCGTACGAGGATCGTAGACGAAACGACTAGCCGTCCTTCGCCGACAAAACGTTCCATACGCTTGGCCAGCCGGATGACGGGCCGCAATGATGAAGCGGTTTAATTGTTCCCGAGTTCCGGACGAGTTTTTCCGTCAATCGAATTACATCGGTAAAATTCCCGATGCGACGAGTTCGAATAGTTCGAGACGCTTTCCGGACGGGATGTGCAAAAACCAACGCCATTGTTCTCATTGTTCTTCTTCTCTATACGCTACGTATATATATATATATATATATATATATATATATATATATATATATATAAGTACGTTTCAATGTTTGCCTTTCTTCGATCAACGATTCAATTATCTCTCCCTTCGCAACGCTCGATTCATTTCGATCTAACTAGCTAACTCGTAATCCTTCCTACTCTCCGTTCGAAATCGTCATTCGTTGGACGAAGAACCGTTCTTTGGAAACGCGGGGACGACAAAGTGACGAGAACTGACAATGACTCGCGGCGTTAATCAAGGGAGAAACGTTGAGGAGAGAAGCGAGGTCGCGTTCAGCTGACGTCTAACTCAAGTCAAGGATAGGAGAGGAGAGGAAATTAGTGTTCGTTCGTGGCCGCGCGTCCCCGTGGTATGCGAGGTACTTTCAAGGGATGTACTCGCTCTCGAGAGAGGGCGTCTTAGCGTTATTGGTTTTACCCCTCGAGACGCCCACGGATGAGGAGAAGGAGATGGAAGAGGAGGGTGGAGGAGGAGGTGGTTGTTCCTTAAATGGAAACGGCGAGAGAGCGAGAAGTGGGCTTCCTGAATCCCCTCTTTCCTGCCACCGACAACGAGACTACTTCGCTTAAGTAATTAGACTGCCGACCGTTCGTTACCTCGCTCATTTCTGAACGGGAGAACGAGAAACTGGCTTAACCTTGTCGCTCTCTTCGATCGTTTGCTTCCAACGTTCGAGGAATTTTTGTATCCGGATAAAGAAAAGCTTCGACGGGAGGCGAAAGGCGATTAAAAGTGGGAAATTCTGTGTTGAGATCCTGCATGAATTTCTGAGATGATATATATTTTCACTAGACAGAAAGAGAGAGAGAGAGAGAGAGATAGTCCATCATCATCTGTCGTTTTAAAAAAGGATTAATTATAGGGAAAGTAAATGATCCATCCGGTGATCTTCACGCTAGAATATCTGGAATATCTACTAATAAGCATCATCCTTGGTAGGGCCGGTAATTCGTGGAGATTTGTATAAAATGCAATAGGAAAGAGTTCGGTTAATTATAATTCTTTATTCGAGCCGATGTAATTTTTCCAGTTCGATCAAGCGAGACACGGTAGCGTTTAGACGAAATTGAAACTCTCGCGTTGTATATATATATATATAGTTTTTCGCCTGGAACAATCAGTCGTTCCGCATGATTATCATCCCAGATTGCATCTCCTCGCCCCGCCCATACGAATAATAAAAGTCCTCGCTCTCTCGTGTGTATAAGTGCGTGCAAGGTGTATAATCATTACGATATTTACGACGAGTTATTAACGTCGAATGGAAGCGTACTTGTATTCCGTTTGACGTTTCGATGAGCACGCCTATCCAATCGCCGTTTTGTTCCATTGTCTTCGCAGCTTCCGATCGATAAATCGTAATTCGAAAATGAAAGAAATTTTTACAAAAAAAAAAAAAAAGAAAAAAAAAAAATTCGACGACTATGTTCGTCATTTTATCCCAGTTTAACATACCGTTAATCGGCGAGACGAAAACGAGGAATAATTAGCACACGTGAAAAAATAATTTGTTGCCTCTTGCCGAGATACCGATTAATATTTCGGCCCATAACGACGCGTCGCAGCGAGGTCTGGAGTGTAACAACAATAAGGCGGTTGATTTACGATCGTGTTGTCTCTGTTAACTGCGCATGACCAGTGGTGGAGAGTACCGTGAAAGACTTCTAGCGAGTGTTCGCCGGGGACGAGAAGAAGAGACGCGAGAGGAAATCGTGTAGAGAAATATTGGTGGACCAACTATATTCCACTCGTCTCGCGCGGACATTTATTTGGCACGGTGAAAAAGGCCTCCTCCCTTGAACGAACCTCTCTTATTATGGCAGCAGTTGTACACGAATGGGAAAAGCAGTTAAGACCGACTAGACAATAAAAGTTGTCGTAAAGTTTGTCACTAAGCGCGCGCCCATCGTGCCGCCGGTTCGTTAATTCCTCAGATTTATTGGCGCGTAAACTTGTTGAATCAATGTTCTTCGCGGCCACGGAGGACCATTATGAATCGTTACGTAAGAATAATTTTTTTATAACTTTATGTACCCTCTACGGGGAACAAGTTTTTTTGCCCGAAGCAAGTTTAGAAAGGGTTTAGAAGGATACGGTAGTCGACGCACGGTTCTAACGGAAACTTTGAACTCTTGGCGAGATGTTTTATCGAGGTCGGATGATACACGCGATCGCTCGAAATATCTATCTCTTTAGAAACAATTCAAGATCTCTCGAGTTTGCCTTCTTTCTATTCTTTTCTCTCCCCTCTCTTCGAAATACGAAGGAAAAGTTTCGAACGTTACGAATAAAGGGATATTGCAATATTAATTTTCAATTGCTTTGGGGGGCAATAAGACACCCTTCTATTTAACACCTTCTCTTATACTACTATCAGAAGAGATAAAAAAATATTCGTAAACTAAATGAATATTCGCGAATATTAACTTTATCTTAACGCGTCAATGTTTTTGCGAGTTCCTCTTACCGCGGCAATATTATAATTCTGCCGACATTTCGACAGATATCAGCTGACAATAGGAACGTACCGTGTTGCAGGTCCGCGCACGAGAAGGGTAAAGAGGTCGGATGGCCGTGGCAATGGCGGCACCCCCGAGGAGAAACGTCCGAGGACGGCATTTAGCGGCGAACAACTGGCAAGGCTGAAGAGGGAGTTCGCGGAGAATCGATACCTGACCGAGCGAAGGAGGCAGCAGCTCTCGAGGGATCTGGGCCTGAACGAGGCGCAAATCAAGATCTGGTTTCAGAACAAGAGGGCGAAGATCAAGAAGGCCAGCGGGCAGAAGAATCCGCTCGCCCTTCAGCTGATGGCCCAGGGTCTTTACAATCATTCGACGGTTCCGTTGACGAAGGAGGAAGAGGAACAAGCGGCGGAACTTCAAGCGAAATGACGGCAATAGGATCGATCGAATGATTGAGTTTGAGGGATGGAGATGGGGTAGAGAGAAACTCTTTCGTGATCTCGTGAGAGGGGATGGAACTTTCGATCGGACCGGTGGGGGATGAAAATGTGTCTCGATAATAGAAAAACTCGGAGTTTCCAAGGGGTGAAACGAAAGAGGTGAGAGAATGATTGTTAGTCTTAGATAATTTAATAGGTTCCTCCTGTACATTTTTTTTTTTTTTTTTTTTGCGAAGGATCATCATTGATTGTCCGCGACTCCAAAGAGATCGACACGTTTTTCGTTTCATTGAGATTGAGCGATAAAATTCTTTCTTTCGATGATTTTTCAGAAATGTTACGGAAAATTTTATCCACGATGAATAAATATAATTCTTACATTTGACAATTATAAATTATATCGAATCATTCGAAGATCAAACAACAATTTTCGGATACAACAATAAGCGGAAGTAATTGTCATTCGAAGAAACACAAATGAATTTAACGGAAACTGAAGGATTAAATTGAAGTACACGACTCGAATAATTTGTGGAAAAATTCAACGCCACGGATTCAAATTTCGCTTTTTCTTCTAGAGCTTCCCATTTAACTTGAGAGAGCTGACGAGTTTCGCGAATCGAATGATGGTGATCGTGCTCACGGTGATCGCAACGATAACTATCATTCAACGGGAATCGAATGGTTGAAGCGAGGGAGGAGGAATCAGCACGCACGTTCCTATGAAACGAGTAAAAAGAAATTTCGTATTTAAAAACTGAGCGATGAATAACGAAGAATCGCGTCGTTCGTGCGTCGCGATTACACGTGAATCGCGTAAGTCACGGTGAAATGGGTTGTACAGTGCCATTTGTACAGTTTTCTCGCGAACAATAGATCGAAGAAAAAAAATAAACGAGACAGTCGACAGTTCTTTGATAAAAGAACCAGTATTTCGAGGCAGAGAAAATGGAGAAAAATCTTCGCTATGAATGCGTGACAAGAGTGTCTGTGAGAGAGAGAGAGAGAAAGAAAGTGTGCGAAATTAATTTCGTTCCGTTAATTTATTGTAAAAATGTAAGATATTCGTACAATTGCGATGTGCAATAGAAGACGTTATACATACGAAGTATATGTACGAAGAGAAGTAAATAGAAACGACTTATGTATAGGTATATATATATATATATATAAATAAAAGATTGATAAATCGTCGTGTAAATAAAATCGCAAAAACTTAGCGAGAACGTCATCTCGATAGACTGTTTAAAAATAACTTAGTTATTTATTTACCTATGCTAATACGGAAGGCTCGATACAATATCGGGCGCTTATACCTTGTAAGAATTATTTAAAGATCAAATTAAATATTCCCACTATCATGAGCCACGTATCGACGTGTTTACTATGTTCTATCTTTAATATCCATCCTGCTCCTTTGGACCAGATAATTCGTCGCCTATATATAGTTCGTCCACCGATCGGGATAAATCTTTTTCAAACATTCGCGCAAAGACACCGACGATAGCTGCAGTCTGATAAACAGTCGATACCGAATTATCCAAGTAATTAACGCGCTTCCGTTCTTCGAGCCCAAGATACGATACCTTTTTCTTTTTTCCTATAAAATCCCACATTCGAGCTCACTCGAGATATATACACTTGGAATTTGATTATAGATATGCAAGAAGTCTGTTCAATCGAGAGATTAACAAGAATTGTATTTCTATCGACATATGATTTCAACAACGTATACACGTATATATTCAAAATATTAAAGTTTTCCAATCCCATCAAAGGATCATATATAGGATAATCGCAGGATCATCAAGTTGCAAGGATGTAACGAGTGCAAAGAGAAAGAAAAGAAAAGAAAGAATATGGTAGCGCAACAATTGAAACGATTAAAAGATGTCGAGAGAGGGAAGGAGAGACAAGATGATCTCGGGAGCATTAATGCGGTCGGGCGATCGATAGCCGTGAAAGCGGTACTAGACGCGTGCTAATTAACACCGGGAAGGGAATCAATCGAGGCAGATGTTTATCGAAATCCATCGGCGCGGCCGTGGGGAAGGCGAGGGACGGTGGCGAGAGGCGATCGGTGTCGGGATAAAAGGTTTCGGGGCGGGTCGATTCGCATTCAGCATTTGGCGCATGCTTCCACCCCCGAGCCGTATTTCAGGCCCGTGCAAACCCCGTGAAAAGCCCCTCCTGCCGGCGTGATATCGATTGATTTACAGTCGAAAGGTGGCCATCGTTGATATCAAACCAGCCACGCCTACGTTTATACCCGTGGATACGCGATACGCGTGCGTGTATATATGTGTGTGCGTTGCACGGTGAGTGGTGTCGGTTAACGCACTTTATACATCATTTAACATTCGCCAACGTTATTTCAATCCCTCCCTCCACCCCCTTTATTTCGTCTCTCGCACGAATCGTTCGGTATATTGGCCGAAATGGTTACGTACGAAGGTGAATAATATTCGCTGCTCGTTTACGTTCGGTAGAAAATTGGAAATTTTTTTGAAAGGAGGTTGATCGATTTGAAAGACTCACCGAGGAGGAAACGTCGAAATTATGTGGAAGTCAAAACGGCCTTTGTCAGGGGTAGGGAAAGATGGAAGATAGAGTTCGTCGACGACCGGGAATAAATAATTTGATGGTGGAAACCGGCGTCCCCCGATTTTTCTCTTTCGACAACGGACTGCTCGGCCGTTGTCTTTGCCCCCGAAGATAGTCCAGGGACCGAGGATGCGCTTTTGGAGAGGGATACCTGGTAAGTAATAGACGACATTAGAGTACAAGCTACGTTAGGATCCTCGAGATGAGTAATAAGGGGCGATTATTTTTTATTTTACGAAAACTGCTGTTTCGGGGACGGACGGAAGTTGGTTACCTGAACCCGAGCCCCCGCGATATTTCATTCCCTACGAAATCAACACCATTGATTCCTTTCAATTCCATTGTTTAAATTCTAAATTGTAAAAAGAAAAAAAATATTCCACTCGCTTGCTGCGTTGTAACGCTTGCCACAACCGAACCCTGGCTAGCGAATAAAAATATACGAGCGATAAGAGAATTCGTGCAAAATCTTTCCTTCGCATAAAAGACGAATAAGGCCACTCGTAATGCGATTCGGTGGAAAGTGATCGAAATACCCTCGTCTTCGAAACGCATCGTCGATTAATCGGGATCGAGAAGAGTAAAGGAGCGGGGACCGATACGTCCCTGTCAGATTAGAATCGGGCCACTTGACAGACTCGCGCTTCTGTCTGTCCAGAATGCGTAGCCGGGGGATCCGGTGGAGATTGGTGGTGGCTCGGGTCAAGCGCAGCGCAGGAGGCTTACGTACAAACGATTCTTCGCTCTCCTCCTTTGTCCCGGAATCTTTACAAATGAGATACAAGCGGGGAGAAAAGTGGAAGGCGCGTGAGAAGGCAGCGCAAACATTAACCCTGTCGACCGACCCCTGTCTTCGACATTCCTGTGCCCGACCTGTGCGCTTTTTTTCTCCAACAACGGATAAGGATAACCAGGAGAGTTCGAGCTCGAAATTATGCATCCGTCTCGGGGATCGTACAACGATGATCCGTATACGCTTTTTGGAATACGCCGATGGAACGGACTAGATATCGATCGTAGATGGCCGGATATCATCGATTGGATGATGCTCGTTTTAAACACATGCGACACGAATAATCGTTCGGGATCCGTTTTCCGTTTTCGTTCGGGACAGATCTGATCCCCGCACGACACGTTTTGTTTCGTCATCCGTTTTCTTTATGCATGCGACAAGCTGCATATTACCTGGCTCCGTTTCGAAAAGGACGGCATACAAATTCGTCGGAGGGGGGGATTATCGGCCCAGCCTCTGTTTACATACGAGGTCAACTCGGTGGAACGAGGTGATCCAGAGGCGGGTTGTTCTATCGGTCCTATCTCGCGCCATAAATCGAGGGGAAATCGCGCGTGGCCCACGGAACTCAATAAAGTAACGCGGAAGGGAATTATTGAGCTCGGTAATCAGCCGTAAATAACGTGGTAGAATTATTCTCGTGCGCGCCACGAACGATAAGCACCGATGGAGAAGGAAAGAAAAAGTGAAAATAGTTTATAGATAAGGGGACGCTCGCTATCAATCGACGTTGCACTTACCGCGCTTGCATACCTCTCGTCGCGTTCCTGGCGTACCATCGATATATATATCCGGATCGTATCTCAACCGAGTGATTTTTCACGACGTTCTACCTCGCTTATTCTGCCGTTTCGTTTTTCTCCTTTGTCCCTCCCCTCCCCCTTTGCCAGTGTTTCATGTTCACGGCCGTTCCTTTTACCAAAGTTTCGATTTTACAAGGATCTTTCTCGATATTTATACCGATCTCTTTATTTTTTCTTTGTATATGCGTGCATTTTCAATTTAATACTTTTAATTTGTATCTCGAAAATTCTCGAAAGGAGAGGCATCGGACAGGCCGATGATCAGGTATGGAGGATTAAGAGGAGGATAATAATTCGTAGCGACCGTGAGAGATCGGTAGAGCGAGATCTTCAAGGATGATCGTCGTTAGTGAGCGGGGCATTAGTCGTACGGTAGCCGATGCCGATGGATACGCTCCACCGTCAGTGGGGAGCCAACGTGGAAAGCAGCGTCGGGAGATCTGATGGTGACGGGTATTAAAATTAATGGTCAGCCGTGTACGCTGACGTGTCACCTTATACCTCCATGCGTCATTTTGATTGACCAATAAATTATCTCGTGGAAGGTCTCGCGCGTGCTTGGCCATCGCTGTTCTCGCGGTTCTTTGCTCGTTCGAGTAAAAGTCTGACCGTTGTGCAATTTGTTGCTCGTTTCACGCGGTGAAACGAAGGCATACTTGTACGAGCGCGGGGATTCGATAACAATCTCCCATAGAAATTTCGAACGAACGCCTCTACCGGGAGATGGGCGAGAAGAAAACGTGAAAAATCTACTGATTACACGTTGAAGGATATAAAGATCGAAAGAAAGAATGACAACGAATTTTCGGATCGTCTA